TTTTAGGAACTGGTCCGTGAGCACTTTTTTCTCAAGGATGATGTGTTTTGTGTTGTTGTTGCTTTTGCACCTGGATTTCAGTGTATTTGTACATCAAGTTGTTAGAAAGTTCCTCAAGTTCTGTGTTTTTTCTCAGCATTTTATTGATGCTACTCTGCATCTCTGAGCATTGTTTTTCCAGTTTTTTCTTTTCTCCTTCCAGTTCAGTTGCTTTGTACTTCATTTCATTATAAAATTCTTGGAGTGTTTGATTTTTCCTCTGGAGAATAAGTTTTTCTTCTTTCTGTTGTATGTCCTGTTGCTCTTTCTCTTGAAACAACCCTCGATTTTGGAGGAGTGTTTTATCAAGAGTTGATTGCAGCACTTTGTATTTTTCCTCCATGTCTTCAAGCTTGCAGTCCATTTCTTTCTGTTTTATGTCCAGTTGATTCTTCTCTTGAAGCAGTTGTTGATTTTTGTGCAGTGTTTTATTATGCTTTACGTGCAGTTTTTTTCCTGCATGCCTTGGAGTTTGCACTGCATGTCTCTCGGTTCTATGTCCTGCTGTTCTTTCTCTTGGAGGATCTCTCTTTGTGTTTCTTAGTTTTAGACTAGTTGATTAGTCTACTTGTTTCCCCCCCTTGTGTAGTCAACTAAGAAATTAATTGCTTGGAACATCTTTGGTGTGCAGGGTTACCACTGCCATTTCTGGCTGAGGGCTTTTATCTGAGTGGAGATCGTGTCATTAGGAAACTGATACTGCGAGCCTAAGCTGTTTGTTTAATATTGTTATGGTGGTGAAGAGTGGATTATGTTTCCTAGTTTAGTTTTCTTTTGCTTATGTGTTTCTGATTATTGTTCGTCTTTGGTGATTCAGGTGTATTTTAGGTTGTTTAGTTTCCTTCAGCTTTCCCCATTCAATCGTGTCTTGTCTCCATGTTTAGGTACCTCCCTGTCTCTCTCGCTCTGTCTGTTTCTCTCGCTCTGCATCTTAGTCATGTGTCTGTGTTTTGTCTCCCGTACTTGTTCCCACGTTGATCTCTTTGTGTTTCAGCCGTGTCCCCCCAGTCTGTCATGTGTTTCCATGTTTGCTTAAGCGCATCCTGCTGTCAAGTTTGCGTGTTCATGCTACTTCCTGGTTTTATTTTAATAATCCTTGTCTCTTGTGTATTACAGTTTCCTTCCCTTACCTCATTATTATTATTTGTCTCTATTTCAATTATTTTTCCTTAGCATTTCCAGTTTTAGGTTATTTTAATACATTTTGTTTTTTTCTTATTTTGTACCTTTATGTTAAGCCTAAATAAACGTATCGCTTAATGTTAACTCGTTCCTGTTCTCTATCAGCTCTGCAGTTTGCAGATCTTGACAACTTTGTGATCACTGTTTCATTTCACATGTAATGTGTTTAAGTACAGAGCTCAAACCATTCAATTAAGCACAATCTTAATAAGATTGTAATGGCCTAAATTGATCTTTGCACAACAAAATTTTACACTTATAAAATTTATAGCAGAAAATGAGAATAAACACCATTAAAAAGATGGAGCTTAGCTTGTGTTCCATCAACACGACTTTGCTTTTTTTTCATCTGTATTTTTCACTCACTAATCCAATCTGATTAGTCAGGCTCTGCCTCCTGATGTCTACTTTCTGCCAATGAAAAACTGTGGGGCTAAGATAGAAAATCTGATGAATTAATTTGTGAGTAGCTGTGTTGGGGGCCTGCTCAGGGCTCCAAGTTCACTGATATATTAATCCTAATATTTTCCTAGACTGCAGACGAAATCCTCACAATAGCATAATAAACACATAAAGCCTCTTTGAGCTCTTGGGCTTCTTGCAAAAACCTACTCCTTTAAAGACTTTTTTCATGCAGCCAGTGGGAAAAAATGAGGGGTGGTAAACACAAAATACTGACACAAGGCAAGACAAATCCATGCTTTCATTTTATGAGAATTAAAAGGTTTATAATATGTTTATAATATTATGGTTTAATTATGTTCCTAAAGAACGTGACCACTATACTATCATGATATGATAACCTCTTACTTCTTCAAATGTTAAATGATATATATATATATATATATAATATACATGCACACCCATACAACTTATGGTAAACTGAGCTGCCTTGTATAAACATATGTTGAAGATGGCTC